TGACAGGCCCTGGATACGGAATAGTGAAAAATTCCCACACGATCCCTGTGCTCCAAGAGTTTACAGTCTCAGGAAGAACAGATATAGAGTTTCAGGTCATACACTGTAAGTTCAAATAATGCTCTATGTAGTGGGTTTCATAGTGTCCCCCCAAAATCGATGTCTACCAGAAACCTCAGAATGGGACCTTATTTGGAAATTAGATTTTCGCAAATGTCATCAGTTAAGATCATATTGCTTTGGGGCAAGCCCTAATTTCAATGATTGGTGTCTTTGTAAGAGAAAGGAGAGGGAGATTCACATAGACAGAAACACACAGGGAAGAGGGCTAAGCAATGACAGAGACCAAGGAACAGCAAAGACTGCTGAGAAGCTGGGAAGAGTGAAGGAAGGATTTTTTCCCTAGCGCTTTCAGAGAGAACATGGCGTTGCTGGTATCCTGATTTAGCACTTCTGGCCTCTAGAACACCAAGAGAATCAATTTTTGTGTTTTAAGCTACTGATCTTATAATGATTTGTTAACAGCAGTCCTAGGAACCTAGTACAGTGAGTGTTAGATTGAACCATAAGAAATTGCCCATTTTGACTGCTTTGACCTAACATGGTGACTTCATTTGGTTCAACCCAATATGCTGTGAGCTTGTGAGAGGAAGACCTTGTTGATGAGAGGAAGCTTCTCGGAGGGATTTCTAGTGGAACTGAAATCAGAAAAGCAAGTGGAAGTTCATGAAGAACAAGAGAGAAAGGGGAGGAGAGGAGCTCCCAGCAGAGGGACCAGGGCAACAAAGGCTCTGGGGCAGAGGCCTGGACACTTGCGAAGAGCTGAAAGACGCGGGCATGACTGGAACATGGTGTGGGCACAGGGCCAGGTGAGGCTGGACAGATAGGGACAGGTAGGAACAGGTAACACAGAATTGGGTGTTAAAACCTAAAGGTTGATGGTTTTGTTCAGGAGCAGTGGACCCCCACTGAAGGGTTTAAGCCAAAAAGTGAGAAGATTACTCTGACCCAGATGCGGGATAGATTTGAAGGAGCCAAACCAGATGACGAGACCGTGGGAGGGAGGGCATGAGCCAGGGGATGTCTCTGACCAGGGAAGCATGGTGGGGATCCAGAGAATGGGCCACCTGAGCAGTTTTTAGGAAAGAACTCCGTGTTTTTGTTTTGATGGCATTGTCCTGATCAATACACCATCTGCCCTTGTGTCTCTTTGAAGACATTTAATTCTCATAAAATATACATATCAGTCCCGGCAGGCCTACAGCCCCAGTGTTGACTCATATAATCATGTGTAGCAATTCCACTGCCCAAGAAGTCTCTGGAAGGAGAAGCGGCACCTCCTCCTCCTTTTTTTTTCTAATTTCTCTCTTTGCTGCTCACCTTGTGTTCACATCACTTTGTTTATATCTCAGCTAGAATAGCTATTACATTTTATTGTCATTATCTGTTTATATAACTATCCATGATGGTGTGGGTTCCGTGGGGGCGAATACTGTGCCTCAGTTGTTTTTATATCCCCAGAACCTAGCACAGAACCTGCTCAGTCCTGGCCTGTGGGATTTGATTTATAAGTGACTGCATTGGTGTATCAATAAATGAGTCAGCAGACGCATGTATTAAATACTTCGTTTATGCTCTGTCTTCTCAGCCTGTCTTTGGCCCTTTATAATTGCCTTTCTCTTTGGTCTGACAACATATTAACTGCTTTTTTTCCCCCTGTGTGCCCTCCTTACCACTACAAATATTTTTCTACTAGTTGTGGCAATAAACTTTTGGAAAAGAAGTCTCTTCCTCATGAATCTCTTTATATGTGGAGCCATTTTTCTAATTGCCTGCATCTCCTGGAAATGCTCACAGTTTTTGTTCTATGCCTTTGGGAGCTAATTCTTTAGCACTGTTGTCATCGTAACCATCAAATTATTGCGAATGCGCCGTGGTCAGTGTTCCTCTCAGGGGGAGAGGGGAGGAAGGTGGTGAACAATGGTGGCCCCTTCCCTAAATGAGATACCACCAAAGACAGAAAGTCAAAGATGACTCACAAAGCTATATAAGATATACAAATGGCTAAGGTAAATGTTCATATTATATAAAACCAAAATGGAAGAACAGTTTCTGTAGTGGAGTAAGAAAAAAAGGCAAGTTTCCTGAACTAGGAATCAGGACGTAGAATCTCACTGTGGGCTCACAACCAGTTGGACAACTGAGCCATATATTGTATTGAACTTGGGATGTTCCCCCAAAATGCTTGTGTTCTCTCTGGCCATTTTGAATATCCCCACATGGTAGGAGGGAAGAGCTGCCACCTCTCTTCTCATTATAAAAACTTCCTTGGCCTCTCATGCTCACCTTTCCACAAATCCGGGACAGATTGTCATTATAAAGTAAAAGCATAAGAAATAGAGACACAGATGTAGAGAACAAATGTATGGATACCGGGCGGGAGGGAAGAGGGGGGATGAATTGGGAGATTGGGGTTGACATGTATACACTACAATGTATAAAATAGATAACTAATGAGAACAGACTGTATAGCACAGGGAACTCTACTCAATGCTCTATGTTGATCTAAATGGGAAGGAAATCCGAAAAAGAGGAGATATATGTTTACGTATAACTGATTCACTTTGCTGTACAGCAGAAACTAACACAGTGTTGTAAAACAGCTATACTCCAATAAAAATTAATTTAACAAAATAAAGTAAGAGCATCTACCCCCTGGTCATGATATTTAGGGGATATTTTGTCATACTGTAATAGAAATGCGTTGACCAGTCCCAAGAATAATAAATATTTAAAGTTTTGTTTTTAACTAAAATAACATTGGTTATTTTAATATTTTAAAATATTATTTTAATAAAATAAGCTAATGTACTTTATGCCTCAAGTAAGTCTTTAAAGATATATATCATCTCTATAAATTGCAGCTTTCTGATAACTAACGAGGTAATCATGGAACTAATGCTATGGAAATATCTTTAATGTTTTCTCATAATATATGCTAATATATGTTAATTTTAAGTAATTTGAGCAAACCAGAGAAAACTAATTTCATAATTCTGCTTCTTTACCCCTAGAAATAACCACTATTACCAGTTGGAATATATCCTTCCAGATTTGTTATATATAAATGATGAGGTCTCATAATATGTACTCTTTTATATTATCTACTTTTTAAGGACACATATACACACACACAGATTATAAGATTTATAAGATTTAAGATTTATAGATCTGTGTCATCCATTATAAGAGCTTCATAGAGTCTTTTTGCATGAATGTACCATAATTTATTTTGCCCGTCCTTACTGGGGATAAGTGTTTAGTTTATTAGTTTATTTCTAATTTTTTTAATATTATTGACAGAGTAGCATTGAACTGCCATGTACTTTTTTTTTTTTAAGATTTTTTTTATGTGGACCATTTTTAAAGTCTTTATTGAATTTGTTACAATATTGCTTTTGTTTTATGTTTTGGTTTTTTGGCCAGGAGACATGTGGGATCTTAGCTCCCTGACCAAGGATCGAACCCATACCGCCTGCTTTGGAAGGCAAAGTCTTAACCACTGGACTGCCAGTGAAGTCCCTGCCATGTATTTATGTCTTTGCCCGTTTGCTCAAATATTTCCTTAATATAAAGTCTCAAAAATGATATTGCTGGATCAAAGTAGACACATCTTTAACATTTTAAAACATAGTATCACATTGCCTTCTGAAAAAGTTGTACCATTTTATATTAACAAAAATTCCCATTTCCCCATAACCTCACATTTTTAACTTTTGATAGTCTGATATGCAAAAGTAATAATTTTATTTGTGTGTTTATAGTACCTATAAGTATTTGTGTTTGAGCATCTTTTCATTAATTTTGAAGCAGTTGTATAATTTTGTGAATTTGTCTTTTCCAAAATTAGTTTGTAAACACTTTTTATAAATCAAGAAATATATATCCAACATTTTTCAAAAAAAAAAAAAAGCATATACCCCATAGGGGGTAAGAAGCTGGTACCTTTTGAAACGTGCTTCCATAACCCCACAAAGAAAGACTGCCTGAACTAAAGTACTCTTTGACCTCTTAGCTCAGCATTTGTGATGTAAAGCCTCAGCTTCTGTGAAACCTAAACTGTAAAAATATAAAAACAAACTTATAGAAATAAATAAACAAGCAAATAAATAATAAAACCATTTGCTTGTCAATTCCCAGATATTTCATGGCACGTAATTGCATAATTCCCAAGCATCTTTACAACTACATAGAGAACTTTTTCTTTATGTACCACATGTGTTGTTTCTCTTTGAGCTATTCTTTCATGAATCTGCTAGGCTAAATGATCAATTTCTTTGACATTTTCCCCCTTTCAAATATCACCACTTAGGATTTTCATTTCTTTTTTCATTCTTTTGATTTCTAATTCTAACACATATATTTATAAAACACTTTGGTGTTTAAATATGTTAGTGATAATAAGTCAGTCAATGATAAAAAAAATTATGTTTCGTATGGAAAGGGGATTATGTTTGGGAATAAAATAACATACATTTTTCTTCTAATTTTTTTTTTCTGGTTTAGTTTTTTTTTTTTTTTTTTTTTTTTTTTGGTACGCGGGCCTCTCACCATTGTGGCCTCTCCCGCTGCGGAGCACAGGCTCCAGATGCGCAGGCTCAGCGGCCACGGCTCACGGGCCCAGCTGCTCCGCAGCATGTGGGATCTTCCCGGACCAGGGCACAAACCCGTGTCTCCTGCATCGGCAGGCAGACTCTCAACCACTGCGCCACAAGGGAAGCCCCTGGTTTAGTTTTTTGTTTAGTTTTCTTTTTGTTTTCCCTGTGCTCAGACTTTGAACACTCAGAGTAAGGCAGGAGACCAAGATATACTTGGTAGGGCTTTACTGCCATCTACCGTTTCTTCATGTAATAACTCATTGTTCCTTTGATTCAAAAATTCTGATAGACTGTGACTTATATTACTAAAGATTCCCCCCTTCTTTCTATTCTTTTCTTTAGTTAAAGCAAAGTGAAGCAAACGCAGACACCAAAGAAAAGCTCCCTTTGCGACTTCGAATCTTTGAAAAATTTCCAAACAGACCGCAAATGGTGAAAATCTCAAAGCTTCCTTCAGATTTTACAGTTCCTAAAATCAGGTATTAAAGTATTTCTTTAATTGTATATCTCAAATACACTGTAAAACATTCATCTTAAATCTGATTCAGCCCTTTCAAACTCATGTGGATGTGGTGTCTTTCTATTTTTAAGTTATTATCCATACTGCTACTCTGTCTTCCTCTGTTTTAAAACCGTTGACCCCTTTAAGCAATACATCCAGAGCAGAGTCAAGTGTGTTAGCCTGGGCAAGAAGGCTGCTGACCGCTGCTTCGCCCTGAGATGGCCCCTTGGGGATTTGACTTCACAGGTAACTGGCACAGGTGGTCCAGCTTACAAAGATGCACGTAGACATTGGCCTCTGACCCTCAACCATGTAAGGATAAAAGGAAATGGAGAAACTGCCACTGGCCAGGTGTCCAGACTGCTGTGACAGCGTTTGTTTAGAATGCCATGTCTGGGTGCAATATAATTTGTCTTCCATTTTTTAAAAGAAGAACCATGGCATTTTGCACTCATACTAATATGATTTTCTACCACTTTGCCCTCAAGTTAAACAATTGCATTGAAGATGCTTCAAAATGCTTATTTTTAATAATTAAAGGAAATTCTTCCAGTTATAGCTCAAAAATTACAAGTAGAACCAGAATAATATCAAAAATGACATTTTTTATGTAACTAGTTTTAAAACAGTTCTATGGGGAGGTTATAAAAGCATGAGACTGGATGTGGTGCCATAATATTTAAAATTCAAATCAAAATATATTTGCAATTCTGATTAAAAAAATTTTTTTAATGTGAAAAATATGACATATATAAAAGAGCCGTAAATTAGATTCAAGATTAGTGATTATTGAAAAGATGTTATCTGAATTCTCCCCATGCTTTAAAGATCAGATGAAGTAAGTTTCTTTTGAGTTATTTTGAGTCTTTAAATGTAAAATTATCTCTAAAAAGATTCTTATGATAAATGAAAGTTCAGAGAGATGAACTAATTCCTCCAAGTCTTAGAGGGGAAAAAAAGTTTCTTATTACCACAATAGGAGTCAAAAGATACCATTAATTACTGAATATTGTTGCTTAAAAGTAATTTCAGGGACGTGAGTTTTTTAAAACAGGAATAACTGAAGATTCAGGAATTTTTCTCTGAATTCACCATTTTGCAAATTACATGTGTAGTTAAATCTAAACACCTCTTGGTGTGACATGTCCTATTTTCTGTGAACTTTTGTCACTGTTTTATCTTAGCTCGGGCAAATGCATCATTGCAAAATGCCATCCCTTGCTCCATTTCATTAATAATGCTTGACATAATGTGTACTTCTTTTGCAAAGGGAAAGTTTCATGAAGCAGTTTATTGATCGCCAGCAACAGGACACCTGCTGCCTCTTACGAAGCCTTCCATCTACCTCTTCCTCATCCTGTGATCACTCCAAACGGTCTGCGATTGAGGACAAGTACATTGACCAAAAAGTAAGAATCACTGTCTCAAATAACCAGATTTTTCTTCAGCCTGTGTGTTAGAGAAAAGAACCACGTAACTGGGTGGGGCCTGAAATCTAATGTCTCAGGAGAATAATGAAAAAAATAATTTTAGTGGTTGGAGAAATTACTAAACCTAACATTTGTAAATTTGTAAATTTAAAATTTGCATTTCTACAGGTTAGCTTTTGAGCCCTGCCATGTGGCAGCCGGGTGACTTCCAATAGATCAAAAGCCTCCCCAAACCTGCATTTTCTCAAGTGCAGAAGGAAGGGCTCTGAGCTCTCAAGTTCAGCCCAGGTTTAATGGTGGCCTGTACATTACTTTCTGCAGGAGACCTTACTTATTCCAGTTATTATGCAAGGGAGACTAACCAGAGCCAAATTTCTCTAAAATTAGTCCAAATAACTGTCATTTATTGAGTTTACTAAGGTCTGTGGCAGGAATTATCTCTAGGCACATTATCTTATTCATGTTCTGATTTACCTATGTCTTTACCATTTGAAAAGTAGATAGGGAATTTTTTTTTCCCAGATTCTACAGTTAGAAAATGAAAGATCAATAGCAGAGTTTGTGAAAGAGATTACATATTAGAGTTTGTTTGCAAAAGCATCTAATTCACTTGCGAGTATTTCTCTTTGAAAGTCCTAGTTTCTATTTTAATCCTTTAAATTGTTGCCACCTTTTTTCTATGGCTTATCATCAAATACATATTTCTCTATTATCATGTGAAAATAAAATAGCAGCTCCTTCATGCTCCAAGATTCTGCTTCTCCCCATTCTCCAAAGATTACCCTTGCAAAGGACCTTACTTATTCCTCTCCTCCTCCTTTTCTCCCATCTCCTCCCCAAATGAAATGAACTTCTGCCCTTTATCTCTCCCCGATTCCTTGTTTCTCTGCTGTAGTTGAGTGATTTTCTTCTCAATTATGATGATAATGATTTCCTTTGTAGTGTGTCTCTTCTCACTCAAGAATTTTCATTTATTTCTTTTCTTTCTGTTATCTACAGATGTTATTCCTCTGTTTTAGAGATTCCAAGATTGTAGATGACAAGTCTGATGCCAATGTCATTTTTTTTTTCCATGTGAAAGTAATTCGGTTTTTCTTTGGTAGTTGGTTGGTTTTCTGGTTTCTCTTGGGAAGCTTGTAAGACTTTTTACATCTCCTTGGAGTGCAAAAACTTTACCAGGATATACTTTGTATGTCTTTTATCATCAGAACTGCCCAAACTGGGGAGTCTTTTCAGTTTGTCAACTAAGAATATAAGAAATTTTCATTTATTATTTGTTCAATTATTACTTTTCCATCTGCTCCTTTTTTCCCCCTACTTTTCTCTTATGATTGTTATCTTTTTCTTCTGTGTTTTGAAGTATTTGTTCTGCTTAATCTTTCAGGCCACTAATTTGATTTCAACTGAGATCATCCTTTGCTTTTAAAGTTTGAGTGAAAAAATCATGAAATGTGTGTGGAGAGGGGCACACACACGCAATACTGTTACCTCTCCTTAAAGACTTTCAGAAGACTGTACTCTTCTAAAAGAATTGTCACTAAACTTGTCATGTCCCTTCCCCATAGTTATGTTTGTGCAATACTGTGCACAAGGCATAGAAGCAAAAAGTTTCTATGTTAGTGGATAAGCAAGTGGGAGGATAATGGCCTGGTTTCAGACAATCATTCTGAAATTGCATTTTACACATGAGAACACAGATGGCTTATTTTCTAAATTTATTTCAAAGGCAGAACTTTAAGCCAGAGGGTGTGCAGTGAAGCCCCAGTCTGGGCTCAGGTTGTACCCAGCCCTCTCCAGGAAGAGTGCCAAGAGTCGATATCATGGATGCCCAACATGGCAAATCCACAACTTGCTTTTTTAAATCCCGAGTAACGATATCCCACTGGAAATACAAAATTAAAATCTTAGTCTGTGAAATTTAATTTTCTCTCTAAAAGGGAAAAGATGATGTCTCTTACATTTCCTGAACAGAATATTTTGAAATTGGTGAGAAATAATAAATAAAAAGGTTCTTAGCAGGTGAGTGGGATGGGGGGTGTGTCTAAGGGGACTTTTCATCCTTCTATGTTTGTGGCTTCTTTTTATATTCTCATTTAACAGTTATTTTTAACTAACTGAAAGTAAGATAACAATTATAGCTTTATTCTGTAATCTTACACTTGTCTCTCTCATAATTCCCTAAAATATAATGAACTAGCAAAGACATTGATCCTGGGGGCGGGATCCAAGTCCCTCAGCTCTAAAGAGACTAGAACTTCTTGGAGACTGCGGGCCGTCCCCCATCTATAAAGTCAGTTGATTCAAACACACAATACATGGTCTTATACAAGGACGGTGATCGGCCATCGTTAAGTTGCCCTTCATCCCCTGTCAGGCTCATTGGCCATATGTAGATAAACTACAGTTAGAACAATATTGTTTATCTTTTTATAGCCTTCAGCATCTGGAAAGGGGCACATAGGGAACATAGTTTCTCTTCATCTCAGCAGTAGCTACCCTGTTGGGGCAGCAGCAAAAAAGAGTTACCATGCTGCCACCCATTCTTAAAGCTTTGACTTTCCTCAGGCTGCTAGGAAAGTAGACTTAACAGTTCCTTTCACCATCCCGTTTCCAGCTTGAGTTCTTGGCGTTCTTTTTTTTTTTTTTTACGGTATGTGGGCCTCTCACTGTTGTGGCCTCTCCCGTTGCGGAGCACAGGCTCCGGACGCGCAGGCTCAGCGGCCATGGCTCACGGGCCCAGCCGCTCCGCGGCATGTGGGATCTTCCCGGACCGGGGCACGAACCCGCGTCCCCTGCATCGGCAGGCGGGCACTCAACCACTGCACCACCAGGGAAGCCCCTTGGCGTTCTTTATAAATACTAATGATCTGTCATCCTTGAGGGCTTTGGGCCAGGGAAACCCAAAACAGAGAATTCCACTCAATGAATTTCAGTGGTAAGGATTTAAGGGAAGTAGGAATCGAGGAGAAAGCAGTCTGGTATCTGTATTTTTAAATATGGCAAGCCTTTTTCATTTTTCTTAAGAAACCCCAAAGCCACTTAAAAGCAAAAATACACAAACACACGAGAAAAATCCTGAACAGAGACCACACCACCGTTAGCTCCCCTGATAAAGTATTTTTCGGGAAGCACTTGCAAATTTCTATTACATCCCAGTTGCCTTTGGAAATACGAGTCATTATCAAGTGGACAGCAAGGTCCTTCACTCTGCGTGAAGAAACTCTCCTGGCCCCCTGCAAACAGAGGCTGTTTTCCCCAAAGAGTAGTAAGAAATCAAAAGAAAAAGAGAGGCTGGCTTTTGGTGATTCTCATAGTGTGAACAAAGAAGCAATAAAATAAAAGTTTTCTCTTAACGACTACCTGTCAGGAAGAAACTTCTGACACCCTCTATACTCGAGGGACTCACTTTTCTCTTGCCAAGGAAAACACTGAGTCCCCAGGAACCTGGACATCACAAGTTAAGGGGAAAACCTGACAACAAAAGCCAGGAGGGGTGGAGGTGGAGTTGTTTGATTAAGCAACGTGGAAACACAAAAGCACATGTTAGGCAAGATTTTCTCAAGTAATTACCCTGGCTTTGAACAACTGTAAAGAATTCCCATGGCAACCTCACTTTGCAAAGACCATGTTTTTAAAAATAGCCCTGTCTGATTACCTTTATCACATAGTTTAAAATACCTGTCCTTCTCTGTAAGCAATGAGCAAACAAAACTGTAACATCTTTAAAGCATTGTGTGGTTTGCTCAGATCCTAAAGGAAAAAGACAGCAAACAGTGGTCCCTCTTTTCCCTTGAGGTGTCCTTCCAAACCCCACAGAAAAGGCATTCCCAAGTGCCAGTTCCCACATCTCTTTCCCTTTCCACTCCCCTACACCCCCGTGGGCATCTTCAAGGGGTCCCCTTTCCTCCTGATTAAAGGATAAACCTGCAGATCTTCAGAGGAGTCTTACTAGTTTCCAAGCAGAAGGGAATCAGGCAGTGGTTTTCTACTCATTTTTTCCCTCTGTATTATTGGAATTAAACCCTCAATTCCTTGAGTGCTTGCATAAACTGAGATGTGAACTTGGCTTTCCAGTAACCCTGTTAATAAAAGCAGCTCACTCTGTCCTCAAGTGAATCATCTCATCAACGTCAAGGTTTCCACTGTGGTTGGATCTAAGGACTCTCTCTGTCTCTGACGGACCTCCCTGGTCTTTCTGCCCTGCTCTCTTGGCTGGGGAGCCACTTCTGGGGTCAGAATCTGCCGTGTCTGGGGAACATGAGGGCCCATCACAGAGTCACATCAGCATGAGACAGATGGAGAGATGAGGGCTGTCCCAGTCACCCCCTTGTATCCCTGCACTTCTCAGAACCGTAATCAGAACCCATATGATAAAGAACAGTGAGGATTTATTTCTCCAACAATAGAGCAATGTCTGCTCTCTCTCTTACCTGTCTCTTTTCTGCTAAACACATAGAAAGTTCCATAGTAAGCCTTCATAATTAATAGCTAACACGTGTACAAAATGAGGAGGAAAACAAAAAGTAATTACTGTGTTTTGTTTACTCTTTACATTTCCATAAGTCTTCACCAGTCACTCAGTCATTCAACAAACGTTTATGGAACACCTGTTATTCATCTGGCACTCTTCTGGGCTATGGGAATTCAACAATGAGTGAGATGTGAACTATGCCCTTTAGAATCTTTTAGTCTAATGGGGAGAAACACGTGTGCATGGATGAAAGTAAAAACTATTACAGGAGCATGAGACAGAACCCCCTAAGTCCTTCCTGCAGGAGAAGGAAGACTGAGCCATAGAGGACAAATTGCTCCAAGCAGGGAGGGAAGCATGTGGAAAATATGGACAGCATGATCTCCTTAATGTAACTGATTGTGAGAAGCAGAATAGAATAGTCATTAAGACCAGTAATACTGATTACATGATGTAGGTTCCAATCCTCATTTATAAACAGAGATAATTCTTATTTTTAAGGTTTGTT